AGTCGGGATTCCAGTGCAACATGCAAACCAGACAAGGTCTTAAGGTCTGAAAACTGGAAAAAGCCCTGATTGCCAAACAGCACGGGACATCCGAGTAGTTTGAAAAAAAAATCAAAATCACACCACTCCCTTGAGATTGTATTTCTCTCTGCACCAGAACAGGAAGCAAAAAAAACAACAACTTTGCATCCTCTACAGGCAATGAGAACATAGCACCTGATTTTTTTTTACGTCTTTCCACTCATTTGCTGAAGGTGACCACAAAAATTTAGCATAGCGTAAGACAAACACAGAAAGCAGATGCTGTAGGCTCTGTATTCCATTTTCTCTCACTGTCAGAGGAAGAAGCTATATACTATCATTCTTAAAGGCAGACAGGATATAAGACGATTATAAATCAACTCTGTGGATCAGTCATGACTTCAGCCTCCACTTGTGTGGCCAGTAATCTACAATGGTCAAATTCAGCACATCTTCTGGGTAGAATTATTACATAGTCCTGGGGGACATTAACACTCTTGCCACAGACAAATCCCAGACATTTTTACCAGTCCTCAGCTAAGAATTGACAAGAGGCAAGGGCAATCTCAAATGATAATGGGTGCCAATAACTTTTTGGACCTTTATTGACAACAACAATAATAATAATAATAATAATAATAATAATAATAATAATTAGACACCGGTGTGCCAGACAAAGTACTGGAGATCTACTGTGCAGAAAAAAACATGGAGATTTTTTTTAATGTGACTTCCTAAAGCAGGTTGCTTTTTCAATCATGTCTTTGGAAAGAAGTCAGGACTCCCCTACTGCCTTTCAGGACCAGATTTAGTTTCTGCTGACTTAATCTAACAAATTAGTTGTTTAATTGATAAAATTCCTTTTAAATGTCTTTGTAAAATGAGATAGATATATAGATATAGATTACACTTTATCTTACCATTCTGTAGGCCTCCAGGACCCTCATATTATACTGCGGGCATGTACACATTGGATTCCTACCAAGGACTGTCAAAACTCTGAAATCCTGAGAGCACTGAAAGAATAACACCATAGGTCACGGCATTTGCATGAATGGAAATTAAGAGATTGCTGTTACTGGGACGATCTTCTTAAAATCCACATACTGTATGCTTATCCTGGCACCATATGAAGGGTCTATGTCAAAATGGAACAAGGGCAGGAATTTTGGACAGGTTTTTGGATCCTGTTTGAGGTTAGAAATTCGTTATTGTAATTCATGGCTTTACAAAACATTGCAAGTCTGTTCACAGAGGTAACTCGCTTCAAATCCTAGAACACGGGCTGTGCAAGAAGCCTTATTTCTTGCAAGAATTTCCAATTTCATGACATGGTTTCTCAGGTGCAGATAAAGAGAACCATCTTGTCACTTTTGTCTTATTGCAAACTATCTTGGGTGAGACACTCAAAGCTTACTTGCTGAGAGCCGGGGATCCTATGAAGTGGACCACTTACAAGTAAAGAAGAAATACCAGTGTTTGCTACCTCCCTAATGGAGACCTTTCAGATACAGAAGTTGGAAAACAGACAACGAAGAGTATTTTTATATATATATATACACACACGGCACCCCATTGATTGTTATGGCACAGGCTAATTTCTAAGAAGCATCCTGTTGTGGAGCTCCACTCGACAAACACAGGTGGTTAAATAAAATTAAATTAAAAATAACATAGAAAAGGCAGTCAAGGAGGTTCGCACTGCGAACCTGGTCCATTTCTGTCCATTGCGGCTTTTTTGTTTTTTAAAAAGACAAGTGATTGAGTTCCTACAACTAAATGCTTTCAGAAGTGTTAGAACTCTAAGCGTTATGGTTTGCTGGTATGCAATCAGGAGTCTGAATGGATCAGATTCCCTTGAGCGGTGTATCCGATGGCTTCAGGAGAAGGTTGCACAGAGCTAGCAGGAAGCATCACATAATGGAAGTTTAGGAACCATATCCCAGAAATCTCTTCCAGGCTTGCAGAGAACTCAGATATCCATGCTCTTGATGAAACGTTGGGCAGGCCTCCCCCTCTCAACTTCATTTACAGTTATTAGGTATTCATGAGCAAATGTTTGCAGGAGAAAGAATTGTCCTCCGTGGGTTTTCTCCTTTTAATCTCCGTACCCCAAAGAAACCAAACTCAAGCGATTGGATCTGCTTCAGCAGGAGACCAACAGGGTCCTGTGTACAACAACAGGGAGCGAATTACAGAGAACAAAAAGGCAACTCTTGATGTTTCAATGGGCTTAGTGCTGCAGGATGAAAATATTTAATCAAAGTCACACCAAACTACAGGCACTCCAGGCAACTGTCTGTCAAGAGAGTATTTCTGTTGGAAAGTGAATGGACTTATGTTTGCTTCCCATTATTTCCTCTTCCTTTCCAAGACTGCCTCAGATCACTTGCTACTGTACTAATTAAAGCAGTGAGACGACACAGATTACAACACACACCGGCTAACACTGTTTTGGCATTGAAGACCTTCTCAAGGAAGGCCCCTTCCCTTGACAGCAAAAAATAAAACATGTATTAACTTCCTCAGGGTTTTGGCTCGTGCTTTAAGTATGGAGTATTGGAGAATGAAATCTCCAATATTCTGTGTATTGGGGGAGTTCTGTGCACCATGCAAACTAATGGTCAATGGCATAAAAATATTTAAGAATTAAGTTCTGCTATAATGAGAAAACATGATAATGCTGCTTAAAATAGAGTAATTTAGGAAATGATCACAAGGTTGATTGCAAACAGATGAGTTAGAAGGGACAAATGACTTTCTTCCACCTGTAACATCTCTTATATTTTCAAAGCTTTTTTTCAGCAGAATCTGAAAAGGATCTCTTTCTTGCCCACATTTTGACTGGCTGCATATTGTTTACCGAAATAGATTTTGGAAAACGCTTTTTTCCTCCCGGAAGGTGTGTGCTTTGGAGAGGAGGGTGCAGTTGGGAGTGAATGGAAGGCTTCGGGGAGATGAGAGGGTTTCTCGTCAGAACAGGTTTTGGGCAGCACAGACGCACCAGGCATGCCTGAAGTTCAGAAGGTCAGAAGTCTGGCTTTGTCCCAGAGCTTTGGCCCTAAAACTGTGCTTCACGTCACACCCCGCCACCAGCAGCATGCTTATAAATTAGACAAATCTGGCCGTGTAGATTTGTCTAATTTATATCTGCTTGTACATACTACATTTATGACCCATCTATAAAATAAAGACTGATTGTCCTGTGCCTTGAAAGGTAATTTACAAGATACATTTTAAAAATGAAAATGATTTACTCTCTACTGACAAGAAACATTTATTACTGTTATCTGTAAGCATGTTAAACCAAAAGATGTAATTATCAATAAGTAGGTTTAAATTGAAATAGGTATGGCTATGTGGCCATATTTAGCTTGGAAATCCACCTTTTCTTCTCATGGGTTTACTATGCCTTTCACAATATTTCCTTATGGTCTATAATCCAGTATTTACAGGAGGCTTGGTCCAAATCAAGAGCTCATTTCTAACTGTGCGGTTTTAGTTGAAAATGGACTTGTACCCCCCTTGGAATTTTAATTTTGCATTTTATGTCCAACTTGTGCCTTCAATTAAGAAAAAGCTAAACTGACTCTCCTAAAAAAAGCTGGACCACCGTGGACCGCTAACCTTGCTGGAGTGATCGACAAGACCGCATTTCGGCATGCGCTACATTCTTGGGATCAAATCTGGTGCCAGCAGCTACTGTATAAACGTGACCAAACATAATACGTTGCAAGGCAATGGCAAGAGACAAGCAAAACCATTCAGCAATCATTTCAGAATATTGAAAAGATACGCCAGATTTTAGGTTAATATTTAATGTTAAAGGTATGTATGAAAATGGGAGTGTCAAACACATTTATGTTATACTGTACATTCCACTGAAACTGACATAGCCACGGGCAAAGGAATTTGCTCGCTATATTGTCATTAATCATTTAAAATGGCTGAATTATAAATTGTATATACATACAGAAATGCATGAACGTTAACATCTCTGAGTCTTAAAATGTGCAACGCAATTCACTTGGCAGACAGAATTTGTATGCTATGCCACTTGATGACATGAATCTTGAACAACTATGCTTCAGATTATAATGTCCTGCGTGTTACATGATACAAAAGTGCATGTAATACAGTACTTAATGTATACAGAGCTTTTTTTATATGTGTAAGAACAGAGCATTTATTATACTTGTAAGAACAGTCTGTGGATTTTTATTTTCCCTAAGTTTATAGATATTTCAGTTTGACGGTATGAGCCAGCAGAGCATTTAACAGTTGAATATAAGTGCTACTTAAACCCATTCCACTGTCCCCAACATATCCAATTCCTTTGTCTACACTTGCTTATTAAATCTTCTTGAATTAACAGCCTTAAAGTCTACTGGGAGATTTTACTGAAGAGTGCAACATAGCAGTACATAGGAGCTTAACGCACTCTTAGAGATCAGTCTGCAAGACAGAGATGCACACACATTCATTTCTGTCAACTTAGAAACGTGGATCATTTCTGCAGAAGCATGGGAGGCTACGTGCACCTGGTTCTGTGCAAACTTAATACAGAAGCTTAACCAGTATCAAAATAAAAAATGCTGGCCAGTGAATTATCTTGAATTTCTTCTTTTGCTTACATACGGACAATTGATATTATCTAATACATGCTCAGTGACAGTTTTTACTCCAAAGAGTCAACTGAATGAAACTTAAAACTGTCCAAGGTAGAACGCACAGAGAAAGGGCTGCTTTATGACAGGAGAATGACAGGTGAGAAGAAGCAGGTAAATACAAATAAAAAATCTGAATGCAGCCGCGATGAGTGGTAAAAACTCACAGTGGTGAGGAATGCAGGGTTAACAGAAATTCCTATGGTTTAAATGCAGCCTTTAACTGTATTACTGTACATCAGGGAGATGGGGAAATCAGAAAGAATTAAAACAAATACAAGAAATGAAAACCAAACTGATGTCAAAGAGTAATTTTTTTTTACCACAATGGTGGCAAAATAACATGATAAAATTAATAATAATAAAATTCTTTAAAAGTAATTCGCTCCCTGCGTTTTGGTCGTGTGTGACTCCTGCACGGGTCACTTTTCCTTGAAATACAAAGTGCGACGTGGACATAGTGCCTGCTCTCGTGTGGTCCATTCCAAAGGTAGCAAATCCTGCTGGGAAAGGTTGTCACTCATGTACAAGAGCCTCCTTTGTCATGTCATAAAAATATAATACACCACTGCCCAAAGAATAAGATACTTTCTGGGTAAGTCCATGCTAGAAAAATATACAGGAACAATGTGCAGCAGTCCGTGGAGATGGATCAGCAGATGTCCAAGGGAGGGGACTGGCACCTGTCTGTTAAACTTCTTCTTCTAAAAATGGAACTGGCAATGCTTTAGAAAGGCTGTGAATTTGGAAGTACGCCTGCTCCAGGACCTCAAGACAGGAGTGGAGAAATCCTGCAACTACATCAATGAAAAACCTGTCAGCAACAGCACTGTATTATGCATTCATAACATTCTGTCTTTATTGTGCACAATATTCGAGTCAATCTAAGTAGGGTTAAGGAGACAATTTTGAAGTGTTACTAAGTATTGCTTATTGTTTAAAGATCAATGTACTATAAAAAGGTGAAGGTCAAATACACCTTCTATATCAAAAATATTCATTTCATTTAAAACATCTTTCTCAGAGATTGCTTAATCATGTTTGCAAATCCACAGCTATACCAGAGAACTCCCATGTTAATTAACTTGAAGTTAATTATGTTCGCCTTTCATTAATAAAGATCCAAGAGAGGTCTAGAAAATCTCAAGCCGATAGAAACAGATATGTTTTCCTCTGACCCAGCCAACAGTCTATATAAAAGCTCCTTCATAATAAATTTTAATTGAGATGAGACCATATCCACCTAGACACTGAAGGATCCAAACATTATAAAAAAAGACAGTGGTCACTACAATTAACAGCAAGCACAAGTGTTAAATAAATGTAATTCCTTGCATTAATATTAGCTGTGTATACACCAGTACTGGGATCGACTTTGTCCTACTAGACATTGGAGCCATTTAAACATTTAAAAATAGAATTGCCAGTTGTGCTTTATTAGATGAGGTTTCATCAATCCTTTGCTCTCAGCGTTCAGCAAATTGTGTGAGCCCACCTGGAGAATCTTGGTCACAACAGACCTGACTAAAGATCCCAACGACATTGTGAGAGCCTGTTAATGGCAAAGACTCCTACTTCCCTCAGACAAAGGGTCTTCCTAAACGTAACGTAGACTTTGAAGTTGAATAAAAAAAACAACGCAAGCTCACCTTGAATGTTTGCGGGGAGAGGGGCTGGGGAACGGTGGTTTAGTTATCTGCTTGGCGGCTGCTCCAGTTGCGCCCCCCCGCCCCTCGACCCTCAGGCCGAGCAGCCTGTCCCCTTGTGGGGCTCTGCCACAGCTCTGGTCTGGGGGACAGCCTCTTGCCCACGGGTTCGTTCTTAAGTGCGCGGTCATAGGACCCAGAGTCAGCTGGCAATGGCTTCCTCCGTATGCTTACAGGCGGATCTGCTGTGTCGTCTAGGGCCTAGAAAACAAAGAAATACAAGTATGTTATTGGAAGCTGCCCTTGTGGGGATGGGGGGTCATGTCCAGCTTTACTCTTTGATATTCCTAAGCAGGACAAACAATTCAGTTGTCCCCAAAAACATTTGCAAGCAAATCAGATGTCCAAACGTCATTTTAAAGAGGGATAGTTGGGTTATTTACAATTGCTTCAGACAAAACATAACGTAAAGACTCATAGGTTATTTTGTCAGGACTGGGTTTATGGCTTACTGCAGTGAACATCTTTACGTTCTAGAGGCATGAAAAAGTTATGGTTGAAGTTGCACAACTGCATGCAGGAGCACAGAATGAATGAATTCATTTCCATTATGATAAACATGAACAGTATTGGACGTGGGAGTGAAAGACATGTTTACGGTGTCTGTAAACAAAAATAATAATCTGGTTGCAGGAAGATGTTGAAGAAATTCCTTACAAATGGCAAACACATTTCTGTGGCAAGCATTTCATGGTTTCTTGTGACACTGTTCATTCAAGTATTGATTTTTGTTCCTCACGGCAGTAAATCGACTGGGCTCGTTTTGTAAACTGCGGTAGTGCCCAGCAAATTCACACCATATTGCCATAAACTCTGTTAATTTCCTTAATGGAGTCTCTAGGAAGCAACGGGCAGCCGATGTCAAGCCAACACTGTGAAGGAGGACCAAACTGCCAAGAGGACAGGAGAGAGCTGGCAATGTCCTGCTTTTTCACACCAGCAAACAGCAGGGGTGCTCCTCCATTTACACATTGCAAAACACAGTCAGAATCTTAATATTGTATAATAAGAACCTAATGGACTCGTTTTTATGGTGTGCAGCTTCATATGTAGCAGATGAAAATGGAAAAAAAATTCCCTTTTATTTTAATCTCATCTGCGTGGCCAAGTGTTTACCGAATGTCTTGTGACATGCGGTTAGCCTGCAGTGCTTGTGAGACATTACTCAAAGCTGGGCTGCGGGTCCAATTTCATGTTAGCAATGGCTTTTGTTCATTTGTCAAACAGCTTGAGCTCTTTGTCATCGCTCGGTGTCTTTCAACAGCTGGTCGCTAACATTCCAAATTCAGCGCCTCAGATGAAAGGGGCTTGAACAGGGGTGGGGTTTGAACGAGCAGAGGTTAATTCCACCCTGAAAAGCACTTGGCCGCTTGTGTCTTCTTCAGGTGTCACCTGACATTACACATGGTTACATGGACAAGTCATGTCAAATTTGTTATAGATAAGACATGTGCTTTAAAAAGAAACTTCACGTTGAATACAGTGAAATTATGTAAAACATGCCATTACATACTTAAGTAATGGTCTGTCTCCGAAACTGTGTTATAAGGTGTCAGCATTATGTAGCTTTTGCAATTAAAAACATACAGTACAACACCAAGCCTCACAATTGTATCTGGGAAAGCATGCAGGGTTTTTCAAATATCTATTAGCGTAACATGAGGGAAATGCATTTATTTTCTCTTACAGAGGCCAAAGGTCAAAACAGTCGCTAACTGACAATTTCCTTCAAATATTTAATGGTGGAATACTTGAAGGCATTTGCGTTTTCATTCCACTATTTTATTTAGCTTTGAGTATAGATTTGCTTTGTCTAATGATTTGAGCCAGTAATCCCCTGCTGATTTTTCACCGGGCCTAACAAGTAGGCCAGAGCAACACTTATGGACAAAACTGCAACAGACTGCACTGCTACCCATCAAGACGTTACAGCAGATTAGCCACAGTGCTTAGGAGACTGAACTGCAGATCATTACTACACAGCCTGATTTCATTACAGGTCTGTTTACCTTCTTGGAATGCGGTACAGTATCGGACAACGTGTGCTGCTACAGGATACACAGTGACTGATACCACTGAAAATAATTAAACTGATGTAATTAATTTCAACTGTTCTAATAAATAAGCAAGTGCGTTATAGCATCATAATTTAATTTGTACCTTGATGTTAGCTATTTAACATAAATGTAGTTTATTTGCTTAATATTCCTAAATACTGACTGTTGTATGGGTGATCTCCACTTTCTGGCATAATATTTTTATAGATGGTACATAAACCTCAATCATTTCTGGAATCTAAGTGAGACACCAGTTTGATATTTCAGACTGAAGTTTTGCAGATATATACTCCTGTGAATGTACCGCTCAGGGATATAATGGCCTTTGTCAACACAGGTCAAACTCAACGCTACAGCTTCCACTGCCAGAATAAATGGACTCTGAGTCCTGCCCAACAAGGTGCTTTTTCTTACTATATTCTTAAATAGTGTTCAGCGTAAAACATACAAGGACACTATCAATATTTTAAGCATACAACCAAAATAACAGGCATGCTTCCATTGCAGTTCCATTACAGGGAGCCTATCCCATGTTTCCACTCAAAAAAGGATTGCATTAGCAATACATTTACTGGCACAAAATTCAGATCCCCCCACCCCCTTCACGCAGGAGCTGAATGAATTACATGAGGCATGTATTACACAAGGCTTTCAAATAACTTCCAGCCCAATCCCATTCTATTCATCAAGGAACATCACCTTGGTTGAGGTTATGATGAAGACAATGGATAGAGGACCTGAGCTGCTAGTTCCACCACATTTTACATAGGAATGTAATTTGGGGATTATCCTGGGCAGGAATGGTGAAGGAACTCATGTGTTATGCACGTCAAGCCAGCCAAACATTGTCCACTGACAGTGTATATGAATTTGCTAATATTTGTGTTCCTATTATTTCAGTTGGTACTTATCTTACACAAAGCACCACTGACAAAGGCAAACGTCCTGTGTTTTCTCTGCTAACACATGTGGGGGAAAGTGCACTTTGTTTTATCTTGCGGTGCATGAAGAGGCTAAGGGGGGATCTTGAGAAACGGAGGGCTGCCTTTCCTCTTAAATCACCATTGATCAGTTTGCCAAGAAATAAATTGGAAAGCGTTGTTTAAATGTTTATGACCTGAAGAGAAAAGGGGAGAGAATTTGGCCAGTGGGTTTCATTAGAGAGAGCATGCAAAGATACTGCAAGGGAAAGAGCTGTTCAAGTGCGTCTCTGGGTCTCTTGAACCACTTCCACATCATGTTTTGTAGTTTTTTTAAACATCCCAGAGACAGAGTGAGCACTGTCCTGTTTGAAGATAGTGAAAAGCTGTCCGTCTGTAGACAGCACTGTAACAGATAAAACTGGGTAAAAGAATTTTAAATCAACAGACATTATCTTGTGCACCTGCCAATGTCAATCCCCTGTGTTTGATTTCTGTTTCCTGAGGAGCAAGAGTAAGAATGAAAGCATATTATAATCACAGGCAGTTAAGATGTTCCATAGTGGTCTTTTGTAACATGCAGACAACAAGCATGCACCATTTCAGGATGTATATATTTATGCTGATCAATATTATTATCAATACACTAGAAGGTTGTGAGTCACCTGTGCTCAATTAACTGGTATATGAGAAATGATGTCCACCACTGACTGTGAAACACATTTACTGTCGCTGACCTAGTTGATAAAAATAGAATAAGATAACCAATTTGTCTTTGTATAAATGGTATGGTGCCTCACTATGAGCATGATAAGAATCAGGCACTTTCCTTTAGGTATATGTACATAACTAGCTGCAACAGCCAGCAGTACAACCAAAATAAATTTCTCTGATGTGTTTATTCTAATTAATCTATATTGATTACTCTATGCAGCAGTATAATGATCCTGAATGCCAGATGAAGACTCCATCTTTCGCCCACAAAAGCACATTCAGTTCTGCTATAACATGCTGCCACATTGCTGCAGTTAAAAGTGATGGTGTCAAGGCAGGAAGATTCAGGAGACAGCACAACTAGATTTTCTGGAAATCCTCTTGGCTTAAGTACCAAAGAAATGGACTTGCCCTTTTTAATTGGTGGCCATCATGACGTACCACAAAAAACAGGTACCAAAAAGCTTACAAATAACTTCAGCATGTGGACATTCAGAATGGGCAAGAGATGAACTTGGAATTTCTCTTAGGGTGTGCGAGGTTTATTAATAAATAAGAAAGAAATACAGAAACAAAGTAGTGCTGGGTATCTGCACATGGGGTGTGTGTATGTGAGATGGGGGCTGAAAGTCCCACTTACTTAATTTCTACATGCCCAGACCATGCAGTGTTCGCTTAGTTCCAAATAGACACTAAATGTAATTCTCGGCGACTGGCACATAGTGCCTGCCAGGCTCCCAAGATTACATAATCAGGCCAGGGTTGAGGCAGGGGAAAAGTGATCTGATGAAGTCATCGGTTCTACGGTCAACTGTGGCTGTTATTCCTGAACTTTTATGATCGCTTTGTTCATACCTTGCATTAAGCGTTGTAAAGATAAAAATTGTTACCTCTGCCACCAGGCTGTAAGCATAAAAGCAGCCCAAGCTCTTTTATTAACACCATGTCAGTTCATGTAAAGACCAATTAAAGGCCAATAAATAAAAACAGACTTTGCTGGGCCAGGTTAAAAAAAAAAACAACAACAACACATCATCGTCGTCCTTGAAAGGTATCACTATAATTATGTGCAATTTTCATTCTGTTTTAAGTTACCTCATTACCAAAAGGGCTGCCTGTTACTAGAACAAGGCGGAGAGGAAGCAGGAGAACTCATAGGCCCCTATTCCATTTTGAATTCATCAGTACACTGAGTAAAACAAAACACAGTTCATTTGACATATCCAGAATTAGATACTGGTACAAAACTAAAATCAAGCTTTAACTCTTAGGACAAATATGTATCCATAGACAACTGTTTTCATCATTGGTTTGGAAAAGCTTCAGCACAGGCTGTCTAAACCACATTTGCCCTGGCTTCTGCACATCCTAAAGTGTTAAACACAAGGCTGAGTGTCAGCAGTCATGTTATCAGCTCTGGACAACCTGAAGCTGCCTTTCAGTGAAGCCAAGCTGTAGGGCAGAGACAGTTGAAATGGTATGTCCCTGTGCAAATGTTTGTCCTGAAAAT